AGGGACAGGGAGTTGGGGGGGGTGCGGGATGTGGGGAGGGTGGGCCGCACCTTTCCCTCCCATGAATGAATCAGATGTGTTTTTGACAACTCAGAGTCACCGTCACTGGCTCTCGCTTCCCGATTAATTTTATTCATTTAAATGCCAGCACGATGGGATTGGTACTTTTACCACAAGCCGCCATTCTCTCCCCCCCCCAACCGCATCATTTGGGGCCCTATCGTTGGGCGCAGACCCTGGGTGTGTTGCACAGCACGGTGCAGGGGGTGTGTTTGCAGTCATTGTCAGCAGCCTGCATCAGGCCTGTTGTGTCCTGCCTGACGACTGCCCATGTACGGTTTCCTCGCGAGTTCAGAAGTTGGCACATGGTTTTCTGACAGTTCGGGTGAGGGGAGAAGCTGGGAGATTTCATTTTGTCCAACTGTGATCATCTGGGTGCTAGACCAGCCTCCTGGGCAGCAGATTGCTTTCGCGAAATCAGATGGCTGTCTTGCTCTTTGACCTCAAACAATTCCAACGCAGAAACAGGCCCTTCATGTGCGTGCAGGCCCTCTGAGGGATTCACCTCCTGCCACTCTCCCACCTTCTCTCCATAACCCAAACCACTCTACTCCTCGGAGAATGACCCAATTCCACCCCCAAGCCCAACTTTCCAAATCTCACTCCAACAGCCCTGGAGGCTACAGCAATGAAGGTGACTATCGAAATCCTGCCCCTGAGTGAGAACGTTTCCCCTTGGTCTTCCTCTTAGCCCTCTATGACCTTGTGAAATTTAATCGGTCTGTCTTGCTGTGCATTGAGACGCATCTGTGGGTTCAGGTGTGACGTGAACCCAGAACTACAGATACTAACTACTACAGTGCTGCAAGACCCCTCTTGTGCCCTCCTGATTTAAACATACACCCCCCTGGTTATTGACCCCTCTACAAATTGAGTCATAGCTTCCTGCAAGGAAGGAGGCCCTTCAGCTCATTGTGTCTATTCTGGTCATCAAACAGCTCTCCGTTCTAATCCCAATACCCAACGCTTAGCCAGCACAACAAGGTGCAGGGCTGGATGAACACAGCAGGCCAAGCAGCATCATAGGAGCAGAAAGGCTGACGTTTCGGGCCTAGACCCTTCATCAGAAAAGGGGGAGGGGAAGGTGGTTCTGAAATAAATAGGGAGAGAGTGGGAGGCGGACAGAAGATGCAGCCTTGTCTACTGTGGTGTTTAAACTGCTAATCTCAGTGCTTGTTAGATTTTGTGGTAGTTTCTGCCTCTGACACAAGCAGCGGGTTCCAGGTTCCTACTACCCTCTGGGTGAGAACATTCTTCCTTCAGTCACAGAGTCATACACCACGGAAACAGACCCTTTGGCCTAACTCGTCCATGCTGACCCAGATATCCTAAACTGATCTGGTCCTGTTTGCTAGCATTAGGCCCATATCCCTCTTAAACCCTTCCTGGATGTACCTTTCAAATGTTTTAATTGTACCAGCCTCCTCCACTTCCTGTGGTAGCTAATTCCATGCATGCACCACTCTCACCTTAAACCTATGCCCCTCTCATTTTGGACTCCCCTACCCTGGGGGAAGAGACATCATCTGTTCGCCCTATCCATGCCCCTCATGATTTTATAAACCTTTATAAGGTCACTCCTCAGCCTCCGATGTTCCAGGGAAAACAGCCCCAGCCTATTCAGCCTTTCCCTGTAGCTCAAACCCTCCAACCCTGGCAACATTCTTGTAAATCTTTTCTGAACCTTTTCAAGTTTCACGACTTCCTTTCTACAGTCGGGAGACCAGAATTGAATGCAGTATTCCAAAAGTGGCCTCACCAATGTAGCCACAACATGAACCTCCCAACTCCTACACTCAATGCACTGACCAATAAAGGCAAACATTACCAAACACCTCCTTCACTGCTCTGTCTGCCTGTGACTCCACCTTCAAGGAACTATGAACCTGCGCCCCAAGATCTCTTCCCCTCCAAACTGCTGCCCTTGATAACTGCTGCCCTACCTACCCCTGTTCAGAGTGCTGAGCTGTCACGATGCTGAGGGAGGGGTTAACGTTACACCTCGGCCTTAGCCCTGGGAGAGAATGTGAGCCCCCACTGCGTGGGTGCACAGAGCATAGAATACTGACAGTGTGGAAAGAGTCCATTTGGTCCATCGAGTCTGCACTGACCTGCCGAGAGCATCCCACCCCGACCCGTGCACCCCCCACCCTGTCCCTGTAACCCTGCATTTCCCGTGGCTAACCCTCCCTAGCCTGCACATCTTTGTGACTGTGGGAGGAAACCAGAGCACCTGGAGGAAACCCACAGACACGGGGGAGAATGTGCAAACTCCATACAGACAGTCACCCGAGGCTGGAATTGAACTCGAGCCCCCGTCACTGTGAGTCCTGACGCCACAGAGAAGGGGAATACTGGGAAACCTGGTTTAACCCTCAGCCAATGTCTCCGAATCCAGGCCGGCCTCTAGTGCGGTGTGTGTGTGGGTGTGCGCGTGCATGAGCGAGTGAGAGCTTGCTGTGCGCCAGGCACCTGGCACCCTCTCTCCTAACCCTTCGAGCACTCGGTTGGCTGTCTCCTCGCCCCCCCCCATGGCCCGTGGACAGTGAACGGGGCATTACCAGCGCAGAGCCTGAGCAAAGTTGCCCACTCGAGCATGCTTTAATAGTTCCACATAGCTGAGCAGTGCCTGCTGAGTTCTGCTTTCGCTTTTCTTCCGTTGCTGCCATCTGGGTGGTGGTATCTGGAGTTGCAGCAACAGCAGCTGCTGTTGTTTGGCCCCTCTCCTGACTGGGCGTCAGGTCGCTGGGTATACACTGGCTAGCTCTCTCTCCTGCTGTGCCCCTCCCTTAGCCACAGAGTGAGATGACTGTGCGCTGTAGTTAGTGGTGTCAGGTTTGCCCTCCCCAGGGTTCAGGGGAAAGGAGTTGAACAGGGAATGGGCAAAGGGCTGGTGTTTGCCCTGTTGTGATTGATGGCTGACCAGGGAGCGCTCAGCTCACACAGCACCCAGGAGCTAGCAGATACCCAGTCCCTGTGGCACTCTGAGCTTTCGTACCCAATGGAGGGGTTTCCTGTGCCTGTCTTGCACAGGTTGGGAGGTAGGCGAGGCTGCACTGGAGGCAGAGCAGCGAGGGGTCACTTGGTCCCTGGGGGTCAGGAGCTTGTCCTGTGATGAGATGCTGAGTAAAATGTTCCTTACAGCTCAGAAGAATGAGAGGCCATCCTGTTGACGCACAGGAGTTTCTGAAGGGGCTTGGAGAGAGCAGAGGCTGAGAGATCCCTCCCAGTTGTTCAAAACCCCAGGCAGTGTCTTGACTTTGCCAGTTATTGGCACATCAGGCTTCCCTTGAACTACCCCTGGCTTGGCCATCAGACTGTCAGGCAAAGGACCCCTTCATGATCAGTCTCTGGGCTTGTTCACTGCCAGAGGGAACCCACCTTTCCAAGGATCTGTGTGTATTTTGTATGTGGAGTTCCGGGCCATTTACAGCATAGGAGGAGGCTGTTCAACACGTTAGGTCACCAGGCGTGACTCATACCTTCACCCTCTTTAGAAAACAACCCAATTTCCCCTTCAAAGCCTAAACCAAACCCCCTTGCCATTAAGTCCCTGGGCAGCACAATCTAGACCCTAACCACTTGTTGTGTGAAAATGTTTCTCTGGGTCTCTGACTTTTTGACCAGTAGTTTTTGACCTGTGTCCCCTTTGGCACTTCTGACAATGAGAAGCAATTCTCTCTCTCTCTCTCTTTGCACTGTCCCAGAAACCTTCCCGTCCCTCATGGTCTTCAACACCTCTCAATCAAAGTTCCCTTTGACCTCCTCTTCTCTGAGGAGCAGCTCCAGTTTTCTCTGGTAGCCCCTCGTTCCTGGATTTGTTCCCCTGAATCTTTTCCACACCCTGTCTGTCTAACTCCTTCCCAAAATGTGGGACCCCAGAATACGACACAGTTCCCCAGGTGGAGCTCGAGCAGCTTTTTATAGAGTTTTACCACCGACCATGATGTGCAGTTAGAAAGAAGAGTGCAGGGTTTGAGATTTGAAGATGGTATTGAATGGTTTTAAATGTTTTCATGGGCGTCGTTGACGGGGCCCAACATTCATTGTCCATCCCTCATTGCCCAGAGGGCAGTGTTGTGTCAACCACAACACTGTGGAGTCTGGAGTCACGTGTAGATTACACTGGGTAATGATGGCACCTTTCCCTTCCATAAAGGACATTGGTGATCAAGATGGGATAACCCACAACTTTACTCCAGATTTTTGTTGATTTCAAATTTTATGACCTGTCACAATGGCATTCATCCTCACGTTCCCCGGATATTTGGCCTGGAATTCTGGGTAACCAGTCCAGTGGT